TGACAATTTTATAGTTTGGGTATTTGTTTGAGATTTTTGTAAAAGTTCGGGTATTTTTATGCGACTAACCCTAATAATAATAATAATAATAATAATAATAATAATAATAATAATAATAATAATAATAATAATAATAATAATAATAATAATAATAATAATAATAATAATAATAATAATAATAGTGAGTATATGACGTAAATCGTTCATGTTTAGATAACCATTCATGTCATGGTTTCATGCACACCACTACGGATGTCTATCGAAAAGGTAATCAATAATGTATGGCCAAAATTAGTTGATCTTATCCAATATTTGGATTGATTAAAGTTAGTATGATGAGATAGAAGTTGTATTATACCAATCCTAATCCTAATTAAGTTGGCGAGAAATCATTAATATATATGAAAGCTATCAACATTGTATATTCTAATATCGTTTTAAAATCTAGAAACATATGATGTTTATATGAAAAAAATGTCTATAGAAGAGATATAGAGGACCTAGGAAATATTGTAAATGGGGGCAAATTTAATTTTATTATATGATAAAACAATTCATCATGGGGGCACCTAATTATTTTAGTTAAAATCCTATAAATTTTACAAAGAAATTATTATTTTTTAACCAAACAACCGGGGGCATATGCCCCCACTCTTATAAACCTAGGTCCGGTTCACAATCATCTTTTTTATTATATTTTCCATTTAAAGCTTCGTGTATATATATTTCTCTATATTAAAAATATCATATCAATTGATTTTAACCCTAATCTTAATATTTTTATTATCTTATTAATAATCTACTAATACGATTTTCTACCGAACTTCCTATATAAAATCTTATAAAAAAAATTGCAAATTCACGTGAAACTAAAATTTCACAACTATAATATATATGTAACGGAGAATTTTGGTTGAAATATAACATAAATTTTATTCCAAAAGACTTTTTTAAAATTGATTTTTTTTTCATATTTTAACAATCTCTTATAATAGACATGTTTTTTCCTTCTAATTTACTTTAAATTTAAGGCAAAAAAGAGAGAATTTTTGGAAACTTTGATTTTAAAAAAGTAGAAGTAATGCTTTATTTTTTTTAGTATTTATTATGTGTGTTTTCCAAACTAATACAACATATTTTATCATGTATATATATGAGTACATATTTTATCCGATTTCTAATTGGATAGTACCGTGCTTGTCAAAATAAATTTGTTTAGTTTTGTATATTAATGTAATGATAAAATTTTAATTTTATAATTATGGAAATATTATTCCAAACTTATAAACATTATAAAATTTTTAAAAGTACTCTATTGTATTGTAGATCTCCTATAATTATAAGATTTATAGTTGATGTTATTGATGGTAGTTTCAACATACAAAAATATTAAAAATAAAAGACATAATGGCATTATTCTCACACGGAGTAATTTTAAAATTGAGATAAAACATGGATAATTCACCGAATGGTTAAGTTTAACGCCACGTGGTAATAATAGTGGATATATGAGTTGGGAAATACGCTTGGAATATGTCAAAGCAAATCTGAGATTCTGGCATTTACTTTTGGAGTTGCATTTATCACTTTCTATTTTGGGAATGTCTGATTCTACACGTCACTTTATTTTATTTATTTATTTATTTGTGGGGTATTTTGACAATAGCTTA